GGATTTCGTCCATCCACACTACGCATTGGTTGTTTGCAAGGCATCATTACTTGTTTTGACGCAGCCCTCCACACAAAGGGGGGCCTCGCTCGCCCTTGATCCATCCTTGGCCATCACAAAAGGAACCCACAAACAGGAACTGCCACGGGGTACCGGAGCTACTCAACAATGGCGTCACCCAGAGACAGAGACACAAAACATGCCCGTGAAAAAGAAAGACGCCTCCAACAAAGAAAAGTTGCCTAGACACTCCAATGCAATTCCAACACCCTTACAACATTATTTATTTTTTGGGAATCAACAAAGAATGTCCCAATCGGTTGAAGGAACCTTGTGTGCGAAAATCTGTGATTTGAGTGGAAGACTGTCTGGCCTTCGCGTTGGAAATCTTGCGGCCACCAGTCGTCGAATGCTCAAGCAGCTCCTTCAGCACGCGCGACGCCCAGGCAACATTCCGCACCAAGCAGTACAAATCCTGCGAGCTGCAGCATTCCAAGAGAAAAGCTGGAGAATCTAACAAATCACGTGAATGACAGCAACCCTCGCGCTGGGAAACAGTGGAACTATTGAAAGATCTATTTGGCAGTGGGTCAAAAATAGGAACTCAAAATGGAACCCTGTTAGGTGGCAACATGGACCAAAACCTGTGGTCCTCTGGTGGTTTAGTATTGACCCACACCCATTTTGAGTTATTTTACAGAAATGCTCCTGCTCCATTAGGCAGTTCTGCCAGAAATGCTTCTTCATCCGCTCCAGGGCCTCCACCTGCTCCAGGAGCTGTTTGCTGGTAGTGGAGCCATACGACTGGACGAGGTTGGTTTGCTTTTCCACAAGGGAGGTCAGCTTTTCCACGTGCGTCGCAGACATCTTCCTCAAATTTGAAGACTCCTTCTCATGCAGGCTCTTGCCGCTCTCAAAGTTCTGCTGCAGGGACTCATACTCAGCCTTGCAGCGCACAAGTTGCTGCTTGCCTTCATGCGCTGCGTTCGTGGCGTTTTGCAGCCGTCCCTCAAGCTGCGTGAGGTCATTCCTAGTTTCTGCCTCGAGCTTGCTGTAAAGCTCTTTCATCTGATCCGTGTCCGACGCAGAGGCTTTCTCCGCCGCACGAACTGTCTCACACAAGCTGGCAACCATGTCCTTGTAGTAGTCCCTCAAGTGCTGCAGCTCTTCCCGCTGCTTCGCCCGACGCTCCTTCTCCATTTTCTGCAACAAGGCGATGCGCGCCTGCAGCACAGACTTCTCGATGCCCACAAGGTCAGCAAGCCTTTCAAACGCTGACAGCAGCTCCTCCGCATGGACCACCTGCAGCAACTCGACCTTCTGGTCCATGCAGGCCAACCGCGTCTGCCCCCCATTTGCTGCCTTGACCAGGGGCTTCAAAGCTGACTGCACCTTGGCAACCTCCGTATTCCCCGAAGATCGCTCCACAATGTGAACAAAAAATGCACACATCGATCGCTTCTGCGCGCCCAAGCGCTGCAAGAGCTGCCTGGCCTTGGCGGCTGCCTGGCCTATCGCCGACAACCCATCCGTAACGAAGATGACGAACACGCGCGCGAACTTGGGGTCATCCATGGCGCAGTCGCTGATGCACTGCCATGCGTGCAAAAACTCCGTGCTGCCAGAAGGAGCAGTTGCTTGCAGCTTTGGGACGAAGTCGAAGGTGACAGGGACCGAACTTGCCAAACGGAACGCTTGGCTGTCAAAGCAAACGACGCTGACCTTGTCGATGGAGCCTGCCGCAACCAGAGCCGTGCGCATGGCGTCGACTGCCTGCACGGCACGCTTCCATCTCTGGCCACATTTCATGCTCGAACTCTTGTCAACTGCGATGATAATGTGGTTGATGTTATGGGAATCCAAATTCATCAGCTGCTTCTGCAGTTCGAGCGTCTTCTGCTCACATTCCTCGATGGGCCCTTGGCTGCGCTTTTCCGCCTCCTGCTGCTTTGCGCGCATTTGTTCGATTTCCTTTTCAGCCTCCATCTTCCGCGCCTGGCACCTGTGCACCAGATCCTCCTTGCTCATGAGCACCTGCCGCGTCATGGTCTCCAAGGCGGCCTTCTTGCTGCCCAGGTCAGACTGGATTTCTTTCGCAGCCTCCTCACGTTGTCTCAGCTGCTCTTCCATCATCTCCAGCTCGGCCTTCTTCAGGCGCAGCTGGGCGTCCTGCCTTCCTCGGTCCATCTCCACCTCCTTTAGCTGCTCCGCGATCTGCTTCCTCTCCTCTAGATATGTCTTGACTTCACTCAAGATATTGGAACTCAACAGCTGGTCGCTGGCATCTTGAAGAGTACGCAGAGCCTTCTTCTGCTCGCTGGAATCACACAACTTCTCCAACACCTGTTCCACCTTCACGATGTCCTCAATCTTCGCCTCCAACTGCTTCCTCTCAAACCGAATCATGTCAGGGCTGAACTTGGTGTTGTTGACCCCACCTCGGCTGAGCCGACCAGCGCTCTCACATCAGCTGCAAACAGCCAAGCTGGGGTGGATTTATTAATTAAAAAGAAAGGAAACCAGCACGTGAGCCCCATGTTGCGTCGCCCTCCGCCGCGCCTCGCGGGCCCAGAAGGCTGTCAATCTTGGCCTCTGCGTCAAGGACCGCCTGGATGAGATCTCGGCAACAATGACTCCCCTTCGCCACCGTCATGACCAGGTCAAACTGCTTGCCTTGCGGGCGCAACCGGCAATTTTCGGCCACAAAGAAGGAGCCAAGCGCCCTCAACAGTACCACAAAACAGCACAAGGTCATGCTCACAGGCAGGCAAAGCACCATCAATTGCTTTCAAAACCTCAAGCAGACCGTCATCCCGCACATTGTTGTCGGCACGCAGGCCCTTGATGCCCTTCGCCCCATCGCGCAGATGCTCCCCGAGCACCTGGATCTCTTTCGCGGCCTCGGGCCACTCCTGACACTTCAAGGCCAAGCTCCGGAGCCCCTCGGTGGTGAGCTCGATCTCTGCCAACGCGGCGATGCCCCCCTGTTCACTCTGTTCACTTGGGAGCACCTGGTCGGCACCCTCACGTGGGCTTGCAAGCTCTGCGTCGGACATGACTGCGATGTGTGCCACCGTGCAGCCTCGAGCCAAACTAGCTGCCACTGCACCCCTTGCCGCAGGTGAGACATGCTCAAGCTCACACCTTGGCCCTCTGCTGGAAACCCCCGCTCAATGCTGGGTTGCAGGGCGTGAACGGTCCTCGTGGTTCAACACCAAATTTTAGGCTTTGGAAGAGTAACCTGGAGGACCCAAATACGTTCTTCCATCCAACGCATTCATGGCAATCAGTCCTCGCGTCTCCACCCAAGAGCTGCGGCTGCAATGATGGCCAACTCCAAGTTACTGGACCGGCCTTGGTCATGCCAGGCTGCATTGTGAGACTTATGGGCCAATCACGACATATGGGCCAACCACGACATGACAAAAAAGCGCTTTGTGCGTCGCTTTGAGCAACAACTGAGCCACTGTCATGGAGTTGCCACTGTGGAACTGACGTTGGTTCTACATGTACGACCAACTCAACATCGCAACGGACGCCCGGCTCGGATTGAACTGAACGAAGCAAGCTCCAAGTGCCGAGGGCCACACGGACCTTCAGCACCAGGGGGACAAGCAAATGACTTGGGAAGTCCTTCACACCGCGGAATACGAGCGCTTCTCTCAATTCGGGACCCCCTGCTTGGCTCGTGCTCATGGGATGCCAACGAAGATATGTTCGAGGTGTCCCTTTCTTTGGGAAACCCTATGCACAGCAGGTGGAACACCTCAGCAGGGCAGCCATTCCGGCTCCTCGGTCAGAAAGGCGTCGCGCCAAGCCTGCCAAGTCCGATTTTCACTGAAAGCTGTTAGCGTCCGCAGGAAGGGTTCGGTGAAAATAGAGAATTGTGTGCTGCTGAATTGTTTGCTCTTCTTCAACACATCTGCCTACGTCGCACCAACCAAAACCATAAGCCCTGCTTGCGTCTCTCAAAAGCACCCCACTGGCTAGCGAGAAGCTCGAAATGCTGAAGCGAAAACATAGGAGGCTGAAGCTGCCTACTCACTCTGTTCCTGCTTGCCAACCTCCTCCTGCACTCCTCTTGTTGCAAACGGTCTGGCCTGCCGAATAGGCCTGCCTGGTTACTCACAAACACCGCAGTTCGTAGTTGCTGCTGACACACTCTGTCAAAGCCGCAAGCTGCCAAGCTGACCCCAATTCCGTGGAGGACAACAGCATCGCTATGTTCACAATGTGTCATGAGCCATACTGGCGTAAAGCACGCACGACTAGGCCGGAATTAGGACCCCAGCAAATATTGTGTTTTTGCCTGGCTAATGGAAAACAAAGGGAACCCAAAAAAAACAAAAAAATAAAAAGGGGAGCTAATTCTGGGGAAGCATAAAGCTTGGAAACCGGGAATGGCCCCTTGACTGAAGAGCCCACCATTGGAGATCAATCGCGTTCGTGCGGGCGCGCAATCCAACAATAGCAATGGATCCAAGCAACTAGACTTTCTGCCGAAACCGACTGGCCCACATCCATTGCCCACATGCTGGCCTGTTCCTGGTGCTTGTTCTGAAGGCATAAGCACCTGCACAGCAACCAAATCAAAACAAAAAGAGAAACGGGAGCGAGCGAGCGAGCGAGCAAGCAAACAATCAATCAACGAAACACAAACATACAAGCAAACAACAAAACAAGCAAACATGCTGCAAATAAATCAACACACAAACACACAGGCAAACTAGCAAACAAACAAGCAGGCAAGCAGGCGAGCAAGCAAGCTAGCTAGCTAGCTAGCAAGCAAGCAAGCAAGCAAGCAACGCTAAAAACAAGCAACGCCAAAAACTAAAGCACACAAACAAACAAACAAACAAACAGGCAGGCAGGCAAGCAAGCAAGCAAGCAAGCAAGCAAGCAGGCACGCAAAGAAACAAGCATGCAAACAAACAAACATCACAAAAAAGTCAAAACAAACAACTAAACATGAAAACAAACAAGCGGCAGCAAAAACAAACCAAAACAAAAACGAACAACCAAGCAGGCAATCAAGCAAGCAAGCAAGCAAGCAAACAAACAAACAAACACAAAACAAAGCAAACCACAAACAAAAAAGACGAGTGGGCGAACAAGCAAACGACCAAACAACAAAACAACAAAAGCAAAACAAAAAAAACACACAGAAGAAAACAAAACAAACCATGCAAACCAACAAAAAACAACAACCAACAAACAAACAAACAAACAAGCAAAAAGGAAACAAGCAAACAAGCAGGCAAGCAGGCAAGCACACAAACAAACAAACTGCAAACAAGCAAACATCACAAAAGAAGAGCCAAAACAAACAACCAAATAAATAAACAAGCAAACAAACAAACAAACAAAAAGCAAACACAAACGCAAACAAGCAAACATACAAGCAAAAAGGAATCAAGCAAACAAGCAGGCAAGCAAACAAACAAACAAACATGCAAACAAGCAACCATCACGAAAGAAGAGCCAAAACAAACACACAAACAACTAATAAATAAACAAGCAAGCAAGCAAACAAACAAACAAACAAACAAACAAACAAAAAACAAAAGCAAACAAACAAAACGCACAAACACACACCCACACTGGCGGCAAATCTCCTGCCTTCTAGGCTGGCGAAACCACTGCAAAACGCCGGGATCTCGTCTCAGGGTCTCGGCTCAGCAGGCGCCCCAATTTGACTTTACCCACATCGCTCATGACACTTCCACCCGGAAACAGTCTGACACGCAACATCACTGCACCACGAATCACCTTGCAAACCATTGTTGTCCATTGGTGAAGCTCGTACCTCTAGCGGCTCAAACAAACCGCTCGTGAAGAAATCCAGATGCCACACTTGGGCAAAGACCTCTCTGACAGCAGGTGCGGTTTGAATCAGCAGTCCTTGTTGCGGGTCGAAGCTCCCACGCCTGGTGCCAACGGTCCCATTGTGAGAACCATGCACAATATACTGCCGCACGGATTTGCCCCAGCAAGAATACGCACCATGTCACCAGCCAATCTAAACAGAGCCTCCGAGCGGGTGTTTTCTGTGTCAGTACCGGCAACAACTTCGTATTTGCGCACAAATTAATGAATGTGTAGCAAACACAATGGACTCCCTTTCACGGCCAGCCAGAACGTGGTAGCAACGATTAATCTGAGCATGTGGCTCAAAATATGATACCTGTTGCCGCCATTGCCTCCCAGACCCACTGTTCAGTGGTGAAATAACCCACCACGCCCGGCTCAAGTCGCCGTTCTGCGCGGCGATCCGACGCGCGCGTGATCCGCCTCTATGTCAGCTCAAAGCCGGTCCAGGCCACCTCGTCCAGCTTCCTCATGCCTGGCAAGCCAGCTGCACAGGTTCCAAGCCCAGGGCCCCTCTTGCAAGGTGACCAGTGCAGTCTAAAGCGGTCCAACCATGCTCACACTAACGGGGCTGCTCAAGCCAGTGTTCTCAGACCTGCCAGGAATGACCCTGACCACAGAAAGCATCGGTCACCCATGTCTTTTCTCGAGCGCGCAGGCTGGCCGGCAGGAATGTGGTGCATTCAATCGTTGGTTGAATCCTTGAAGCTTCCCATTCACCAGGCGAGAGAGCCATGGACTCTTTACGGTCTCCAACCACGAGGCCCAAGGAACCCTGCTTGCGAAAGTTGGGCGCCCCAAAATTGCTTGGCTTCCTTTTGATTTCCCACTACATGAGTTCAACCTGCCGAAAACAGGGCGGGTTGTTGCTGGCTTAGCCTACACACAAAAACGCAAACTAAGTCGTAACGAAAACCTGGAATTAACAGGTAACAGGTTTTGGGCATGGACTAAATGCTTCCAACAGGAAGATATCCGCTGGGTAACCCCCCACCTCTGGCACTCGCACCCGCGAATTGCCGCGCGAATCGCGCGCGCGCGCCTCGGCGGCCCAAGGAGTTGCCCGCCAGGGTGTAGGGCACCTCGCCTCTCGCTGACGGGTTGACACGGAAGTTCCACAAGCCCAGGGGTTGACACGCGGGACACGGCCTTTCATGAAGGCCAAAGCAAGTGCGTTTCGTTTGCAACCGGAACGCCTGGGTGTTCTCATGATCACCATCTCAGCATCGAAATCTGCGCAAGGTAAGGCGACGCTAAAAAACGTGAAGTACTAGGTCGTCAAGCATTGACCAGTGTGGTGCCACCGCATCTTGGTGCTTAGGTGAAAGAATCCCGCGGAAGCCGAAGGAAGTTCAAGGAAACCCGGGAACGAGTGAGCTGATGACTCTCACACACGAATTCATTGCCTGACAGCGAAGACATCGAGCCTATGTTGATAGTCCTGATAAGATGTTATTTTGCTACGTAGTTCTCACTCGCATCAAAACGGACCCTTCAGCGTATGGCTGCGCTGAGCTTCAAGTTGGGGTGCCTCCAAATCTGAGAATCCACAAACTAGGGCCCAGTGTCCTTTGCTTCCCGTCAAAACACACCTCGACAAGCTGCCCTAAAACAAACACCCGGAGACACCTCCTCATTTTGCCCGCATTTCGCCCCCAGCCCGCCCCCACCGCCTGTGCCGCTGTCACCAGATTCCCACACAAAGGTGGAGATGCGCCAAATGTTGAGGCTCGGCGTGAGCAGCGGCGACCTGAGCTCGCAGCAAGATCTGCCCAGACACGCCGCTTCTCGCTTCTGGAGAAGGCGAGCTCATGTTGAAGGCGCTGACTTAACCGTTCTATCATCCATCAAGAAAGTCTTTCAGGGACAAACGATGCCGAAGTCTTTGCATTTCAACTTGTAAGCACAAGCATGGAAAAGGGAGGGCCAATTGTTAGATTTCACTCGAAGAGAACAAGTCCTCATAGTTGTATTGGTGTGCGATGACATTGCCGAAGGAAAAGGGTGGACCCCGCATGCCTATCTTGTCTTGTTGTGTTTTTTTTTTTTTTTGAGGGGGGGATGGCGGGGAGTCCCACAAGTGCGCAAGAATCAAACCCCCGGGAATTGGAGGGTGACAGCGCGTGAGCCCTGCGAAGTCTTTCCATGGCTTTGGGGGAACGCTTTGCAAGGCTCTCAATTTGAAGACACCAGTTTGTGTTACAACCCGGATTTGGATCAGAGGTCCCCTTGATAGGAAACACCTGGCCATTCGGCTTTTTCTGTAACTGGCTGCATTCAGCAAAGCCGTCCAAACAGCTTGCCAAGCGGCGGAGAGAACTTGGGCGACCGTTTCTCTCTGAGAAATTGCATCATCAAGTTGTCGCTCAGTGACATCGGTGGGTTCCTTGGTTGGCATCCGTCTGGGCGGCCGAACTCCGGATCATGAGTGCTTCGATCATGAGGGCTCAAATGCTCTCCATTCCTCTTGCTGCAAGAGGCAGGACTTATAGCTACTTCGCTGCCCCTCTAACCTACTTTGGGTCAACCAGCAGTAGCGTTCAAGGGACTCGCGTCAATCATGCTGGGCCGTGTTGTCAAGTCTCTGTGAAAATTAGCCACAAGGAGAAACACGCTTCGAACGCACCCAAGCACTGCCCACTTTGACATACTGTGGATGGACGAAATCCTGCACCATGTTGGAACCATGGGAAACCATTGTTTGTTGGTATTTGCAGGGGAATCATCATCTTATGGTTTTCGTAGGCAATACAAGATTTCGTCCATCCACAGTAGGTTGCTGGAAACCTCTTCTGAACCCAATGATAGACTGGGTCAGGTGTCCGACATCAAAACGCAGCGCACCCCAAACCGCCCCATCCCCGTCTGCCGGGCAGCAGGACCAAGACCTTCAAGCGGTACCGCAGGTCGCTCCGGAAACCCACAAGCGGGGGGAGGAAGATCGTCAGCTGGTGCTGATAGTAGCCATCTGGGCCCAAACACGCAGCTTGGCAATTGAATTGTTTCTGCACCTGGTCTTCTCGAGGGTTCCGACATTGCCAGGTTTATTACACCACATGATGTGTGTAATGCTCCGTGACAACCCACAGAAAGACCCATCAGCCCCAGTAGTAGGGGTAGTCTCCCAGTGCGCTGCTCTTGGCCAAACACGCGCAGAGTTCCAGGCACAGCCCCAAATGAGAGAGCTCTCCACCAACGCGTGTCACGCAGAATCGAACCAGTACAACGGGAATGGGTGACTGTGCCTATCTGACTGAACTACTGAAAAACAAACAAACATCGCCGACATGCCCGCCCTGCAGCCGCGGCTGAAGCCAAGGAGCCAGAGGAGAGCCAATCAGACGTGGCCACCTGATGCTACCGTGGCCAAAGGATATCCAAGAGAGGTTGCAAGCTCTCAACGCCCTGCTTTGAGAGCAAAATCTAGCGGGCATGTTTTTTGAGGTTGCCTCTTCTTTGTTGCGTTGTTTTTTGGGGTGTACAAAAAATAGGGAACCTGGGCAAATCACCAACGATGTCATATCTTTTGCGACAAATCCACATAAGCAGTGGCAAAAAACAACTGACCATTGACTCTCATCGAGGTTCTCAACATTTTCGCGATCATCGGCACAGGCTGCTTTTGCTCGCCTTTGCAAACCCACAGCGGCACAGGCCAGAGGCCCTGGCCTCGCAGAGCGGTGGGTCCTTCAGGAAGAGGGGCTTGCTCTCAGTGACTCCTGACCAAGGCTGACGCCTGGTTGGGCATGAGTGGATGTGTGAAGGTTTGCATCATTTAATGGACAGGTGCTAAAATAGGGGGACCCCCAAATGCTGGTTTTCCCATCGGATTCCCTTCAAACCAAGGTGAAAGGATACAAAGCCAAAAAAGGCAATGATCCCCACGTAATTCAAAACCCTTGAAACGGGCATCATTTACATGGTACGGGGAGACATTAGGTGCCCCCCGTACCCTCCGGAAAGATTCTCATCACACTTTTAGGAACGCCAAAGGTTCTAAGAGCCTTTCCTGGGACTTTGCAGATTCCTGTCCACCAACCCATTTTGTTTCGGGGGTCCAACCGTAAAAAGCAGTTCTGCGGAGATCATGCCCTGAGCATCTCTACAGGTCTGCTTCAGTTACGGACTGCTCGTTCCAGGTCACATGCTCCGTGAATGTCAACATCCAGCGACCATGTGGCCGGAGGTTCCCCAAGGCCTTTGACCAGTCGTACAGCAATTCTCAAAAGGCGATGCTGGGATGACTCGCTTGCCTTCCATGGTCAATCAACAAACAGCTCGAGACGCGGCCCAGCTCGCAAAGACCCGCGCAAGCAAAACTGCCCCCAAGATGGACCAGCTCCCCTCGGAGGGCTCGGTACCCAAAACCCAAAACTCCAAGGGCCCGCAAAATCTGCCAATGGCCCCCGTTGGGTCGACCGCTCCATGTGCGCAGCTTGAAACACAGGAGCCACCGGCCCTGCCTGTCTGCAGGTTTTCGACCTGTTGGCTGCGCTCCAGCACCAGCTCCTCGCCTAAGCAACGCATGCGGATGCGGTGGTAGCACTGGGCGCGAGAAAACGCGAGATCAAGTGATTGAAACAAGGGGGAAAGAGGTGAAAAGAAAACACTTTGGGAGTTGCCCCACGCAATCTCTGATGGCACAGTTCAATGCAAAGTCCTACGACCCAATCCTGCGTATATCCCGCTCACTCAGCTCGAACGCCCCACACGCCGAACGGCTAGGTGTTTCCCATCAAGGGGAATTGTGTTCCAATTGCGCCTGCTGGCTCACTAACACAGACTGGTGTCTTCCATTGAGCACTAGTCAAAACCTGGCACTAAAGGGGTCCACCCAAAACCATGCAAAGATTTCACAGGGCTCACACGCTGTCCCTACTACCTACCTCCAATTACCGGGGGTTTGATTGTTGCGCAATTTTGGGACTCCCCGCAACCGCCCCCCCAAAAACAAAAAAACAAAAGGCATCCCCTTGAAGGAAACCAATGATTCATTCCTTGATTCCCTATCCCCTATCAAGGAGCCAGCCGGAAACTGACCCAAATCCCATTTTAAGGGTGCGCCGCTTCCGCCCCGCTGAAGCCAGAAGATTTGCGGAGGCTTCCCCGTCGCTCGCTCGCGTTCGGACGGGGGCCCCGGGCAGGATTTCTCGGTGAAGAGGTAGGTGGGGGGCGCCACCAAGATGAAACCCGCGGCCGCCGCCTCGTGGTCGAGTCGACCACGAGCGCCAGGATCGAGAACGCACGGCCATGCACCTCTTTTGTCCTTTGGGATTCCGGGCCAAAAACACGACGTGTTCCTTTACCTCAATACTGTGTACTACTGTCGATTCAAACAAACGAATTGCAATACTGAATATTGGCATTGCTATCACTATCGCATGGATGGCTCACTTGCAATAGCCATAAAATGTTAATTCATAAGCCAAGACATCGAACATGGGTGATCGTCACATGCAATTGTCACACCGCTGCAACCGCCTCGAACACATTCAGGTCCCTGCGCACGTCCATTTCAGACATTTGTGTCATGAGTCTGACGAAAACTATGAATGGCTTCAAAATGAAATGTTGACATGCTCCTCGTGCCGCAGCTGCCATGCCAAAACATGGGGGCCTAACCAACTCGAGGGGGTTCAACCTGCGACTGGCCTGGCGGTCCAGCAGAGAGGTCGCGGGCTGGAACTCGATGTCCAGCAAGTTCTCCGCCTCGGGGCCCGGATCGGATGTCCACACAACTGCTGTCGATCCGAAAAACTCCCACGATTTGAACAAACCAAACGTCGCCTCAACTCTCAGTGTGCAATAGAACTCGGCTTATTGCTGGGACGACCACTGCTTGAAGTTGAGCTTGTTCATTTTGGACCGCTGATCTCGGGAATTGGAGGGAAGCTCAGAGTCCGTTACAAATTACACTGCGGAAGAAAGAATGTATGGACCTCTAAAAGAGTGGGACAACTATGCTGTGTGTGTTCAGTTCTATTGGGGCTGCTGAAACCACATCTGATTCCCAAGTAAACTCTATCACAAGCAGTAAGTGTCATACAATCCTGACAGTTGTCCCCAAAAGTGCACTTGATTAGAAACCAGCAATGCGGGGAACAAGTTTTTGGCACCCCTGTCGCAAAGCTCGGTTCCACATCGGGGAGGCCGCGGCACCCCAGTGCCGAGCGAGCGCCGAGTGCCGAGCGCCGAGCGCCGAGTGCCGGGCTGCGCTGGCAGAGCTGCTGTGCGCCCAACGGGTGAGCAGCATCTCCTCCGCGCGACGTGCGGGTGATGTCTCGCGTCCAGAACTCAGCCGTCCGAAACTGAATCTGTGGAGCTCAGACAGACGAACAAAAAGGCAGGCAGGCAGGCAAACAAGCAGGCAAACAGACAGGCAAACAGGCAGGCATGCAAAGGCACACAAACAGTCAAAAACATCCGACTGTCGGTCACGGCCCTGAGTGTCTGACCGCTTCCATCCAACACCCACCACCTAGTCAACCCGGAACAGGAAGATTGTAGTCTTGGAACCGGAGGATTCGAGTTGCTGAAGTTGGTGAATTGGGTGAAGTGGGCGGTTTGGTCTCAGTCTAGCGTGTGAACCGCATTCGTGGAACCATGGGAATATCCCCCCTCCAAACCCCACAAAAGGGAAACTCACTCTAATGCGGCCTTTCCAGAGTGATATTTGTACCACGGAAAGTCGAACTCGCCATTGGTGGTTTGGATTGTTGGGATGGGGATCAAACAACTTTGACGAAACCACAAGGGAAAGCAGGCCCCAGCCTGCAAACCACCAATCCAGCGGATCCATCAATTAGTGGATAACAGATCTGGATCCCTCTTAAGTGGGTCCATCAACCGGGGCTAGTTGATCAACACCACAAACCACCCAACAAAGAACCTAGCACCCCACCATAGCCGGCCAACCAGTGCCGCCTCCGCGCCATACCCTCCCCCCCCCCTTGCCGTGGTCCTGCGCCAGCGCGTAGGTCCGGAGCTGCGCCGCTGCCAGCTGCTGCTCCGCTAGGCCGGCGACCACCTGAAGGCGGAAGGCGCGGGCGAGCTGAAGACTCCCGTCCGGGAACTCAGTGGGAGGGAAGGCCCTTGGAACCGTTCTGGGGTTCTTAAAAGCTTATTCTGAGAATCTGTCTGGAGGGTATGGAGCTGGGCGCCTAAAACCATGTGAATCATTCCCGTCTTGAATTACAGGGGGATGATTTGGGTGTTGTTTTCTACGCTGCATGCCCGGTTCACCTTGGCTTCAAGGGACACCAGAAGTAAAACCACCCACTTGTGGGGCTTTGGCCGTGTCCCTTGTGGTCACATTCTGAAGGGCTCTCAAATTTATGTTCGAGGATGGACTCCCTGTAAAGCACCCATGGGTAATTGTCAGGATGATGTTCATAAATCGAGTGGAATGCCCCCTGAATGTCTCTCCAAATAGGGTGATTGCCTTTTGGGTGGTTTTGCGAAAACAAACACGGCGTCCTCTAGGCTTCGATCCAACAATAATTCCTCAAAAAGGGTCGCCTCAACAAAAAAACAAGCCCTTCAACTGACGCCTCTTTCCTGCAACAGAGCTGCTCCGCATCCCTCTCAACTCACAATTCATTTCGGCCCTTGTAGTCTTCTTGGAAATTCTGAGGGGAGCCTTCCCACATAGATCAACACATATGTGCACATACTGGCTATGCGGTGGATCACATGACCAGGGTCACTTCAGCAGCGCCCAAACCCACTGACTTCTGGTCCTGGTTCTCCTGAGATGATGATTAAAAAATGGATCCTTGCAGGCCTCGCCATAACCACCACTAAGGTGGCATGTAGTAGAACAACCTACTGACAAGCCCAAGAGGGGTGCTGGCCGCTCATTTGATCACCCACATTAACACCTCGAGGCTCAGCAGCTGCCGGGTGGAAGGTCCCAGCGCGTGCCGCACGCCCAGCCTCGGGAGTCAATCTACGGCATTGCTTTGTGTGTCCCTTCTGACCCGCTGAGAGGTGTCGAGTTCAAGACACACAGCCAAATGATGCAAGTGTGTTGCATATATGTATGTATACGCCGACATTAACAATATGCATATATGCATTGCAATACACATGCATGCATGTATATATAAATACAATATACACACATATGTATATGCGTGCAATATGTTGATGGCGCCACAAATTGTAGGTGTGAGGAAATACTGAGAACATTCAGTGTATGCAAGCTAACCAAACGGCACCACACACAAGCACGCGATAACTCTTTTATCCGAGCAGTGTGTTGGTGCCAGGGACTCATCTTCCCCTGTCAGATGACAAAGGCTGGGTGGGCCCCATGGGCCACCCAACTCACAATCTCAAAAACTGAAGAACGGGTGTGCAGACTGATAGCGCCCGCCCCTGAGCCGGGGCCCGTGGCACCCAGGCCACAGAGAGGTCTGCCACCAGGGGAAGTGAGTCACCCACCAGCTCCGGTCACGGGAGCATGGGTGGGCCCACGCTGAGATCAAAAGCATCTCCATTCAGGAGACGCGGGAGAAAAACAAACTCCTCGCAGAGTTCCTGCTTGGGGACCCTTTGCAAAGGGTCGAACCCAGAGAAATCTGGGTGCGTCAGCTCATCAGCCCATTGATTGAATTCACGGGGCACGTGGTTGGCCGCCAGCGAGCAGCCATGGGTGTGGAGCAGGAAGACCAGCTCCATCAAAATCGCCGCCATATAGGGCTTCTTGGATCCAAGGTTGAGCATCGCCATGACGTTGCCCTGATTGTCACTGCCCACCGGGAGTCGGACCCGGGAGGACAGAGGGCCTTGGTGCGTGAGGATCATGTTACAGAGGAAGAGCGTGCCCAGCATAGAGCTGCAATCCTCCGCTTTGGATCCCCATTCTTGAAGGCCCACACGTGGATCTGCTCGTGGAACCAGTACACCTCCTTCTTGTCCGGCTCCCGTGAAGGCCGAGGTCTGGGCGTTGAACCCGTTCTCCCCATCCCGGAATCCCAGGTCCCGAGGACCATTCTCCCTAGCCGCCGCCGGGGTGTCCCAGCGATCCGCCAGGTCTTCCACCGTGACGTATCCCGATGCGCCCACAGCCGCCTGGGTGGCCCATGGGATCTCCTTCCCCACCAGGATGGCCGCCAGTGGCTTGTGCAACTTTGCCACGTCCTCCTTGAGGGACCTCCTCCGGGGGTTTGGCCGCCATGACCTCCGACCTTGGTGTGGGTGGGTGGGTTTTTCACACAAGTTGGGTTCAAAGAACCCAGGGCAAAGCTTGAGCCAAAATGGCATGCGCCATTGTGGTCAAGCATTGCCAACACAGTTCATGTTTCCACATGCGTTTCAACATTAACAAAGTGTATGCAAGCTAACCAAACGGCACCACACACAAGCACGCGATAACTCTTTTATCCGAGCAGTGTGTTGGTGCCAGGGACTCATCTTCCCCTGTCAGATGACAAAGGCTGGGTGGGCCCCATGGGCCACCCAACTCACAATCTCAAAAACTGAAGAACGGGTGTGCAGACTGATAGCGCCATTTCTGAAGGACAGTCTGGCACACCCGCCATTTCCGAAGGATGCCAGTCTGTGCTGAGGGCCCTGGCCATGGCCTGCTCCGGGCCTCCCATCCCCTTGGTCGCCAGGGCCGGGGGCACCTAGGCTACCAACGGTAGGGCCACCACCTCGGTCTCCGACTGGGTGTCCACCGAGTCATCCGTTTCAGAGCCCGAGTCCGCCGAGGAGTCCGAGTCCTCCTGCAGCGTGGGGACCTCCGCAGGTTCCAGTGCCCAGTCCGCCGGGAAGCCATGCCTCTTGAAGCAACGTTCGCACTTGCCATAGGCCTCCTGCTCCGTCATGTAGTCCAGCACCGAGAGCTCCTGGACCTTAGAAGCCGGTCGCCAACCACACCCCACAGCCGTGCCTTCGACATTCAGCAGGTGGATTCTGGACTGGCCGGCGTTGCCTGTGCGTTTGACCGCCGCCACCACCCGAAGGGGGAGGTCCGGGGTGGCGGGAAACAGGTCCTTAGCCTTCACTGGTGTGTCCTCGGGTCCGTGTTTCATGGCGCGCGTACCGAAGGGGATGCTTCCCCTTCCCTTTCGGTCTGGTCCTCGCGGCCCTCCGGTCCTGCGTCCGTGATGTCCACTGCTGGCGGCGGGAGCGGGTCCGGTGATTCAAGTCCTCCCTGCGTTCCCTGCCTGGCCCGAGGTTCAGGTTGGGGACCTTCTGCGCTACCTGGCCCCAGATCTCCACAACCACGTTGCGCTTCTCCGTGAGCCAGTTGCCAAGGTACATGCGGCGCTCCCGGGGGATCCCCATCTGGAAGGCGCAGGATGAACACCCGGAACGAGTGCCACGACAGCGGCTTCACCAAGCCCGGGGTGACACCCCGACGGAGAATAGCATCCTTGAGCCATCTCAGAGCCCTTTCCGGTGTGGAAGGCCGTGGTATCAGCCCTGCAAAGTCCTTGCTCACCGTCGGGAGCAAGTAGTCCATGTCCTGGAATGCCTCCTCGGATACCAACCGCCTTACCGAGGCCACCCAGGTAGTTCACGGGAATCGAAGCTGTACTTCGGAGCAATCAAGGGGACCGGGTTGCGGTTGATTCGTGCTGCCGAGACCGTCTTTGTCTGCCAGGCCTTCAGCTCCACAGTGTTGCTGGTGTGGATAAGGTCCTTGGGGTGAACGTGCTGGAGGTCATTGAAGCGAGCGCTGCAACCAACCTGGAACCGGGCGAACCCCAGGATGAACGCGTCCAGCACCTCGTGTCTGCTCTTTCCCGGGGCCTCCTGCGTGCCGGGGCCGGTGGCACCCAGGCGATCGTAGCCGGCCCCCTCCTCCAGAGCCCAAATGACCTCTTTGCTGGGGACCACCGCCTTACGCTGTGGCCTGGTGACCGTGTCCGTGAGCGCCTCTTCCAATGAGCTCTTCTTGGACTTGAGGCGATGGAGCTCATCTATCTTCAGCAATCCGAAGGTCTTGGAGAACCACTTGAGGGTGTTCCACACCTGCCGCAACTTGCACGGGGTGACCTCCTCATCGGCGAGCTGGTTGAGGAGGGAGCGGACATGTCGCTCCTGCCATGGAATGACGGTGAAGCCTCTCTTGCGGAGACTCTCGTAGACCAGGCAATGTTGCCTGAGCGTCCGGAACCTGCTGTCCCCCAAGAGGTCCAATGCTTCCTTGCGGAAGTCCTCCCCCAGGATGTCCTGCATGTATGCAATGTGCTCCGCAAAGGGGGCGAAGTGGGCCTGGCTGGCCATTTCCACCTCCTCTGCGGTGAGCGTCTGGTCCTCAATCAGCTCGAAGGAAGTTGCCGAGGTTGCCGAGGAGGCCATTGCTGGTTCGGGGTTAGTTCGGAAGTGTTCAACCTCAAATTTTTCACACAAGTTGGGTTCAAAGAACCCAGGGCAAAGCTTGAGCCAAAATGGCATGCGCCATTGTGGTCAAGCATTGCCAACACAGTTCATGTTTCCACATGCGTTTCAACATTAACAAAAGATGTTGCAGGAATGTGATAGTAATATTACATTGGGGAATGTGGTGAAACATAGAAATGAACATACTTGGAAGCAGGTTCAATTCGGAAACCAGCCAATATAGTCTAAACAACCAAAGTCGAGAAGATGCTCCGGTCCATCGGGAGGGGGGAGGGGCGGAGGTATCTCAGGACGTGCATCCTTGCAAGAGACGGCAACGAACAGCCGGTCAGCAGATTCAGCAAGACTACCGACGGCCCTTGACCCCATCCACAAATGACGGTCGTCATCAAGCCATGCAAACCCATTGGAGCGGGTCCGTCTCTCCCTCGCAAATTGCTGCAGCCGAAGCGTCTGCAACATGTACTGGTCCCCAGGTGGCGTCAGCCATGTCTCCATACCTCAGCAAAAGCACTCGAGCCAAGCAGCGGCTCACATGTTTGATGCCGAAAGAACCCTGAGCTCAGCTTCTCCAGTGATCACCAGGATGGTCTGCTATTGGTAGCCTATTTTCTCAGGATCACTGCAGCGACCTTGGAACAAACGCAGAAATGTGGGTCCTGGGAAAGAGAAAGCAAAGGAAACCAAACTAAGTTGGTTGTGGTTTGACGTATTTTTCACTATAGAACAAGAACTAGGCCAGGATAGGCGCGATCACCCCAAACTCTGTCGACCTCCAGAGCCGTTTCGTCAGAAGCGCCATTCGTCCACCATTCGCGACAGTGAGTAATCTTTAAGCTACTTTTGAAGCCACCGGCGGACTGTTGAATCTGCATACCATATTGGACCACAGGCGACCCACAGAGCATATTCTTTGTTCAAGAGGTGGAAATATCAGATAGCCAATCCCCAGACTCCGCTCGCCTGTATTGTCAATCCCAGCTCTCTCTGTCCCAGCTGCTGAGCGTAAGCTGCACCTCACCCGCAAGCGAGCTGTTGCCACTGCCTGCGCTGTGTAGGCCCGTGGGGAACAACAATGTTTGTTCACCATGAGTTCAGCTAAAGGCGAACAATGGCTCATGCCTGTGCGTTGCGGATGGAGAATCCGCAGAAACCCGCATGGTACGGAGCAAGGGTCCAATTTTGGACCGGGGTGCTCTTGGTTTTCCTTTTTCACAGAGGGCACAGCAGGGATCAACAAGAAGGCAACCCCTGTTGGAACCATCCTAGGGCCTCGGCTCAAAGCCATTCCCATGGGGCCACCGCCCCCCAGCCGCGAATCCCCCCGCCTCCGGCGGCACAGTCGCTAAAGCGCGCCAGCGCGAGCTGGCTGTCGCCGGGCACCGAGGTCGTGGCATCCTGCGAAAGCAGCGGAGGAGAAGATGCCGAGGGTCGACTCCCAACTTCTCTTCACACATGGGTATGGGTCAAATTTCAAGCACCAGGGGACCACAGGTTTTAGTCCATTACCTATTTTTGACCCACAAACACATCGTTCTCTTCAGAATCCGGCCCGATTTGTCCACTTTCTCCCAGGCTTGGCTTGAATTTCGGGTGTGTCTCCGATTGGGATCCCCCAAAGGTGATGCTGGCCCTTTGGCTTCCATTGAAATCAAAACCAAAAAGTGCCCGACAAAATACGCACACGCGCAGGGGTAGCAATATGGTTTGAAGGGTCGGAACCAGCTACGCCGCAATTGATTTGGAACTCTTGCACCCCAGTTGACCCATTGCTCCCTCTTGACTCGCCAGCTTGTGCGGCTCAAATAGCTTGTGTCAAGTCTCAAGACTTGTTGATAGAAGCTAGGCCGGGGGCGGGGGTGCGGAGAAGCAAAACTGACATCACAAGCCATGGCTGTGCTAGCCACCCTTGCAGCGCCTCCAAAGTCTCTGCAGGCACCTTGGCTGAAATGTCGAGGGGTGTGCTGCATCGAACATCGCAATGGCAGGTTCCATATCTTGCACCATATCAAAGAAAGCCCGACTTCACAAGAGTCTGCTGGTGGCATGCTCCCAAGTGGCAATAGTCAGATTTCCACTCAACTGCCCGCGGGGCAGCTGTGTCTACACCCCCCTTCAACGGACAAAAACAGTCAGTCCGCTTCTGAACGCCTCATCCCAAGTGCCCCCCGCTTTCAGCAACCCCCCCACACCCTGCCACCTGCCCGCCACCTACCGCCCGCGGCCCGCCCAGCGCCCAGCGCCCGCCTGAGTGAGACGCAGCGGCTCCCGCCACTGGGCGCGCCGCAGCAGGGACTGCTGGCGCTCGCAGCTCAGGAAGCGGAGGCCCTCCACAGCGCCGTGGGGCTGCCTCGCGCACGGCGTTGCACGGCGTTCGATGGCAAGGCGTTCGAACTTGTCGCGCGCCGGGCGGGGAGTGCTTTGGAAAAATATTGGGGGTGCGTGTTTGTGTTGAGGGTGGCCTTTGTCAGCTTGGTTGGGGGAACGAAAAGGAAACCGCAATCCATTTTGGAGGTCCCCTATTTCCACACATATCTCAGGCCACGGCAGCGTGAGCCGGAGCTTGGATGCAGGGGGGTAGCCATAGCCGCCCAGGGTGAACACGATGAGCAGCAAGGACCTTGTCTGTAGAAGGGTACGGGGCCCCCACAAAAATGGTTCTCCTGTCGGTTTCCTCTTCTCCCCAAGGTGGAGAGGATACCCCAAAAAAAAGCACGCCCAAGGGCTCAAACAGCGAGTATGTGTAACTGGTCACTCTCTCGGCTTGTTTTTGGCAACAGACAACCTCACGGAGCTGTGATCATTCAACAGTGTCCAGCAAATGCTTGAGCGTAGTCAAGGCGGCCTAACAAACAACTCCCGAAGGAGAGCGGGACATTGCATGGGATTGTCTCAAAAAGGGTTTGCCCCAAACTGGTTGGTTCCCTCCCTTCAAAGCAACCCACACGAGGACCCTCAAAGGCACCCATGTTATATGATTCACAAGCAATATCATTTGGTGCACAAGAGGATCTGGAGGAAATTAGTTTGCCTGGTCTTTGTTGGAAAACAACAGGTGGTCCACCCATAGCCCGCTTCGCCACGCGGCTCCTGCCCGTAGTAGGGCCGCGTCGCCAGCATCCACGCCGGCGCCAGGTCCCTCACCGCCAGCTGGCCCTCTGCGGTGGAGGCCAGCCTCGGGCCATCGAACTTGTTGCACTGAAGTGCGGGTTGTTTGAAAGGGGGCGTCTAGAAAAGAAGATAACAGATTGCTCAGTGCGCCCTGTTCGTTTTGAAAATTCAAAGTGAGATCTGGGTGTTGTGCTGTCTCGAAGCCCCGAGCATGACTAGCAACCACTAACTAACGATGGTAGTTTAAACAAACTGCCGCCAAAACAGACTTCCAAAAAGGGGTGACTGATGCAGGTGGTCGGGCGGACGAGCAAACACGACCACGGAATCGAGACAAAGCCACACACACACACACACACCGTTGTTTCGCAGTTGTTCAGAGTCCGCTTGGCTCGCCTCCAGTATGTTGAGACATTAAACAGGGACACCTCCCAGCCTGAATGTCATGGCCTATGGCTTTCCCTCTGACCCCACCCTCAAAAGGGTCTCCCCCCCGCCTCCCCCCCCCCCGGCGCCTCCCCCCCACCTCCCCCGCTCCTCCAAACCGATCCGAGGTCCCGACAGGCGCCGCCCAGCGCTGAAGGCGGCCAAGTGCCAAGAGCCCCAGGGGCTGTCGGCCCGCTCCCCCGCCAGCACCAGCTCCGAGTCGGCGGGGCCTGCGTCCAAATCGGCCGGAGCAACGAGGGGAAACGGGACGTGGTTGCCTGGGATTCGGGATATTGGACCATAAAACGAGTCACACTCGAAGCCCAAAAATCATTTGTTCTGACATCACGAAAATTGTGCGAACAATTGAAAGGGCGGGACTGTCCCCTACTAAAGTGCAACAGTCCCCTATTCTTCTTCAACTACCCAAGTTGCTCGTGTTATGGACGACCCCCCCCTCACAGGACATGGTACGTCTGGTCGCACAAACCGCCTCTGGACCACTGCGCAAACACACACACACACACAAAAAAAAACAAGCAAACAAGCAACCAAGCAAACAAACAAAACAAACAAACAAACAAACAAACAAAAAACAGACAGACAGACAGACAGACAGACAGACAGACAGACAGACAGACAGACAGACAGACAGACAGACAGACAGACAGACAGACAGACAAACAAACAAACAAACAAACAAACAAACAAACAAACAAACAAACAAACAAACACACACACACACACTCACACACACACACACACACTGGCTACTGTGGTTCGGAAATACGTGCAGCTCCGCACCCTCTCTTGTTCTCACGAGTCGGTGATATGTAACATGCCTACAAATCATTGTCACCTTTCTGATGAAGAATCATATCCGAATGCGCAATACGCTAAAGCCTAGCACGACCAACAGCTGCTTCAAAGTCACCAAAATGACAGATACAAAGCCCATGTGGAATCAGCACCCATCCTGCATGATTGTGAGCTCGCACGTATGTGTTGCACATGATGTCGGCGTGGTCTCACATGCATGCTACTGATGATTGGGACCCCTTTGGCGAACATCACGGGGATTGAGCGCACCTCTTCTTTGCCATGTGGGTCGAGGGGTTCCATTAAAAAACCAAACATAGAACGTTTCAATAAGGAGCCCATCGTAGTCCCCGAAAATCAAAATCTTGGCCCAGTGCCCAGGGAGCAGCTTCCAATCTTTGCTTAGGAACCGCCGAGCCTGCGATGCCTGACTGACCCAGCGGCCGCCAGGGCACCTCCAGTGTTTAGAGTGGGTCTAGGGTCGAAAAGCCACCAAAAGCCACAGAAACTAAGAAGTCACCCGTTCATTTAGGGTGGGTGGGTGGGTCGGTTAGTGGGTGGGTGAGAGGGTGGGCGGGCTTGGTTTTTCGACTTACAGGCAGCCGTCCAACCGACCGACCGAGTGACCAACCCACGTGGCCGACCGAGCGACCGACCAACCAGGGGCCCTGCCACGACCCAGCCAGCCAAATCCCCCTCGAATGACCTATTCACACGACAAAGTGCGTGGGGTCGGTCATTAAAAATCCAGACTTTCTGTTTACCAAAAAATGTTCGCAAAGTCCCAAAAATCGGGAAAATGAGAACATGGCCAAGAAGGACTGTGAATGCGCAACACCCTGCACCAGCTATCAAGCCCATTCATAGACCACAAACTTGTTCTACGTTTTGGGAACCGAGACCACGGAACACCTAACCTAGGAGTCATTGCTGACCTTGCTTTTCAAAAATCAACAGCCAGCCCCTGCACTGAGCCTACCAAAAGCCGAGAAACATGCACTGACCTCGCTTCGGGGCGCTTCCGCCGGAACGCGCCTGGCGCGCCACCCGCCGGGCCGGCCACACGAAGCCGTAGACGGCGCTGGCCACCAGCGCGCCGCGCCCCGAGCCGCGGCGCCGGCCGCCCAAGTGCACGGTGAGCACCTGGGGGGTAAGGGGGGAAGGGGGGAGGGGGGCGAGAAAGAGGAGGGGGAGGCTGTGAAAGGGCCAACCACCTTTTGGGGGAATTTCTCCCGCATGTCACAAGTAGGGCCCTGATAACAGCTGGTGACGGTGTCCGTTTGATGCGGCGTTCATAACTAAGTTGGGGCCGGGGGGGGAGGTTATCCAAGAATGACACCCAAATTGGGCATTGTCTCATTGTGCCATGCTCATGTGAAAGTCAAAGCAACAACCAGCGTCACCGGCCATCAGCAGCTTGGGTTGTTTGCGCGTTTGCCCGTCACTGCCTTCACAACCAACCACCCGAAATGCTTCCTGTGAACATGTAATGAGCTGTGCAAAAGACAAGCTGCATTTGGAGATGGAAATCACCATCTGCAGGCACAAACGCACGGCACACATGTGTTTCATTCAGGACCACAAGTTGCCCCAGGGAAAAACACACACGGTCGCCGGCGAAGGGCTTCAACCAAGCTGGACCCCAAAAAAAGGACGTCCTCAAAGGGACCCTCGTGGTGTTTTGCAGGGCAACGAGACCCAATTGAGAAGCCCTCCGCCTGCAACCACTTCAAGGGAGCCCAAACCGATGTCGGTTTCTGAAGCTGGGCATTCGGGCGTCGCCGCCCGCCGTACACGCGGAGAAGCTCGGCAGAGGGCGCACCAAGGCCTAAGATGGGATGGCTGGGGACCCCTCTGGCGCATCCAATCCTATCAAGTGGGTATGGGTCAAAATTAAACCGTCAGGACTGCAGATGTTGGTCCCATGCTTCCATTTACCAGGGGTCCATTTTGGGGTTGCCCTATTCTTTGACCCACACCCAAATGGCTTGGCAAGCCTGTGCCACACTGCCTTCGTTCACATGTCTGATGGCCCTCCATCGAGGTGGCCCTTGCACCGAGGCACTGGATCCACGCGCTCGTTCTGCAAGGCGCCTGGAGGCAAATGGACCCAGCCCGGCGCAACCGATGCCGCGTAAACACGGGTATACAGACTACCCTTGTGATTGACAGAAATTGAGGCGATTATCTGAAAAGCCTGCCAACTACATTAGAAGTGTCACCATGACAAAGGCCCCCAAGAACAACGGCGCGCTGCCTTGGCAAGCCACAGAGTACCTGCAAGCGTTGCCAGTCCATCAAGTTTTAAATATAGAAGCTCTTGGGCACTCTTGGGCCACTTGTGGCTGTGTTTCCTTTGGGGCTTGGTAGACATTCAGTTCTCCAAACAAAAGCCGAGCCCAAGGTGTGCGCTTCGGCTTTCACGGGTGGGTTGGTTCGGCCCCGCCTGCCAGGGCGGACGGCACCGGCGCCAGCTCCTCGTCCCTTTGGCCGCAGGGGGCGAACTCCACGAAGACCGGGGCTTGCAGCCGCAAGAAGTTGGAGGTGCCTTGAAAGGTTCGGGGGGTTGGGGTGACCTGGGGGTGGGGGCCGTGAGGGGGGGTAGGATACCGGGTGAGGATGTGGATACTTGCTGGTGCCTCTGCGGGGGCCCCGGAAAGGTGGGGGTGCCCGGAGAGGGAGAGGATATCGATTCTTTCTTTTGCTGCTGCTGATGTTGTTGCCTTGTAAGGGAAGCCACACATTGCGTTTGCATTTTGCGGTGCGGATTTAGACTCGTTTGAAAATAACCCCACTCATGAAACCCGTCAAGCTCATGTTCTATCCTACTGCCTGGTACCTGTTTGATTCATCCCTGTCAAGTAACCACCACGTTCATTCCACTGTCCAAACAATTGTGTTGCAACAAATCAATGATGCCAGGCATCAGGCACAATTCAACGCGGCTCCCTTCTTTTGGGTGTTCCCCAAAATGGCCGAGGTCCCTTCCGTTTCTCCTTTTCATCCACCGAAAGGCATACCAACTCGTAACTCGCCACCGCCTGAGTGGATCGGCCAACCAAACTCGCATATTCGCTTGCTCTTTGCCACTGATCTGATCGTCCAACCACGGTAGAAAGTCTAAAAAAGAAACAGAAGACAAAAAGGGAAAAAAGAAGAAAAAAACGGGGGGGAGGGGGGGGGGAACGATGAAAAAAGAAGAAGAAGAAAATAAACGACCAGGGCCCCCAGCCCACCAGGCTCAAGGTCTCCGGCATGGCCAGGAACACCTCAGATCAGACGCCAAACCGAAGGTTTGAGGTGTGGGTCAAAGATAGGGCAACCCCCAAAATGGAACCCTGGTAAAATGGAAACATGGACCAAAACCTGCAGTCCCCTGGTGGTGTTTAACTTTGACCCATCCCAGATGTGGCCGGAAAGACCAAGGATTGCCCCCTTGGTTTTCCAGGTGTCAAAAGCCAAGCCCTTGTCTCGACGGAACAAAGTCAGCCTAAATGGCTCTGGCAGCGCACCAGGGAGGAAGACAATGAAAGCCTTCATCTTAGAACCGGCGACAAATGCTCAATCCCGTCAAATGATTCTAAAAGTGGAACACTTGCTGTCGGGTCTGGGAATCAACCCAAACTTTGGCCACCTTGAAGGAAAACCACAAGACAAGGTTTACAGGGGTCATTCCAATTCTCGTTCCCTGAGAACCGGCCCGACCCCCCGAGCCCGTCTCGAGCCCGGCCCAGCCGCCGCCAGGTCGAAGAACTCCCCGGCGGGGCTGGAGGCCACAAGCAGGTGGCGGAACGAGGCCAAGCGATCGAAGCTGCCGATGTTCCCTGGATCAGACGCAGCTCATCACTCGACAGTGGCAAAAAATGGAGACATGACGAAAACCCCCCGTAACCCCGGCTGTGTAACTTTGGAGCCACCATCAAATGGGGTCCACCCCATCACCCCCAGCTTCATGGATGGCCAGTTTCAATATGTGATACATTGTGGGACGTGGTGAGTAATGCGATGTCCTTGAAATTTGGTGTGTGTGTGTGTGCGGGCGTGACCTGTGTCATCCACTTTACTGCAGCAAATGAACGGAGACGAAAGGAAATATTGAACCGTGATCCATGTCATCCCTTTTGTCTAGAGTAGATGATGCTAAATATTGACCGTGTCTCTGGGCATCAAAAACGCGCCGCGCACTGAGTGTGCGCCGCGCATCCACAAAGCTTCCGCAGCACAAACCCTAAAAATTGTGAATCATGCGGACACACATCTTACACCTGATACTTGACTTGCAAACACCGGATTGATCCACTCAGTACTTCAAAATGGAGCTGTCCAATTGTGGAAATCCCCCACAAAAGGTTGGCAACCTGTCGGCATCGCTTCAAACCAGGCAGACCAGGGCTATCTCCGAAAGCCGATCCCAACCTTTTTTTCCGCCGCGGCAAGGGCCCCTCTGCGCGCCTTGCACGGCCAGGAGCTCCCCCGTGGGCGACTGCATCTCTAACCTTCGCGGCGAGGATGCCCCAGGGTGGGCTCAAAAGCTTTTGTTGACTGTCACTTCCAGCGCAAAGCGACGCAAAAAACAACCTAACTAATTTCATGTTTTTCTCTAGGATGCCAAAAATGCTGTATTGGCCAGCATTGAGCAAAAGCATACCACTAGCATGTTACAGCCTGCAAAAGCCGCACAAGCAGCCAAAAAGCCGGCAAGAGCCGCCAAAAGGCAGGCGAACCCACGCAAAGCCCAACGACGGAACGCCAAAGCTGTCATTCAACAACAAGGCAGCATCCCCAAATACAAAAAAGACACAAACAAACAGAGAGAACGAGAGAGAGAACTTTCAAGTGGCATGTCTGGCGACCTCCCACGCGCATCCACGCGCGCGTATTGTGGCGCCAGTGGCTCTGGGCCCCCCACTTCCAGGGCTCCGCGGGCTCCTGGAAGGCGGCGCTGGCCGCCACCGCCACCGTGAGGTCCAGGGCGCCGTCGTCCCCCACCAGGTCGTCTGCGCCCGCTTCAAACGCAGGTGGAAAAGGGGGGGGGGGGACGGGGGTGGGGGTGGGAGGAGGGGGGTGGTGGTTGGTCTAGTGAAGGTCAAACAAGTTCCTGGTTGATCTAGTGAATCCAATATTTCTAAGCTGATTGAGGAATCCGCACTGGCACAAGCAATTCCCAGACCAGGAAACAAGGGTGGAGCATTTGTTGAGATTCCGAGAAAAAAGACAAGGGGTTGACAGAAAGACAAAGGGCACCTAAACCAAAATTGATATGTGAGGTTCAGAACTAACGATTGAAATCACAATTGAGCTATGAAATGACCTGGGTGAATGATGTCTGTTGTATCTGTATTGCGGAATGTTTACGTGTGCGTCATTTCCTTGTTCGAATATGTGGTTTACGTTGACAAGCCAAATCATGCGATCCGCGTTTCTACCTTAGATCCTGTGTTAGGAGTTGGGCAGACGAGAAATCCTGGCAACTCGCGATTTTAGGCTATCTTCTGCAAAGGGAAGAATCCTCTGCTCCAAATCTCCCGTAGAGAGCATGGCTCTAGGACAACTCCCCAATTAAGTTGTGTGCCTCTGGCTTTTCTGGCTTTCCTTTTTGAACATACTCCAAAAAGCCCTCAGAAAAAGACATCGCCTTGGAAGTATAGCTCCAGCTCCCTCGCCGTGGCCACGCTGGTTGCCAGCTGCCGCGGAGCGATCACAGACCCAGCATCGAAGGGGTGCCGAAACTCGAAGCCTGGCAAACGCGCCGCGGGCCAAATTTCCGAGGTTCCATGCCGTTTGTTCTGGTGGTTTGTGGAGGTTCAATGCCGTTTTTTTTTTGTTTGCCGTTGTTTTTTGGTGGTTTGTTCGGGCTGATTCGGAAGCAACTAATTACATGTGGTCTGCGCAGACCTTGGCCCATCATGCAGAATATCAATGATTCCCATGCGCATGTGGAAAACAATAAAAGCATCTATTGCGAGATATCAGATTTCTGCATTGACAAAACACCAAGAAACATGAAGCTGTTTGGCCCATTTCCGCATCACCTGAACCTCCGCTTGGGTTCCACCCATAGCCAACATGGGCCATCCGCCTTCAGGCGCCCGCACGCGCAGGGCCCCGCCCTTGGAGAGCACCCCGTTGATGCGCAGCCCCCGGATCTCCAGGGACCTCGGGTTGAGGGTTTGGAAGAAACGTGCTCATACACCTACTGTGGACCAAATCCATTTAATGGTGTGGATCAACAAAAATAGGTAGCCGAAATGGAACCCTGGCAAAGGGAAACAATGACTAAAACCTTCGGTCCCTGGTGGTTCAATTTTGACCCACACCCATCTCGCACCACCGAAATGAAAGTAGGGTTGAAACCCGAACGTTTGTTGGTCTTTGCAGGGGAATCGAATCATTCCTTTGGGCTTCTTAGGTGGTGCAGGATTTCGTCCATCAACAGTGCCTCCAATGGGTTTGAAAGGGTTCCCTCGGCGGCGCGGGGCTGCCCCTTAGAAACATGTTTGCCCAAACCTCGCAATAAGAAGTGCCTTGCAAGAAGTGCCAAGTGTGGCAGCGAAACGGGGGCGCAACCATGTAAAATCCAACTCCGTGAGCTTTGGCTTCTTGAGGCATGCGCCAGGAGTTCCACAATACGGCACCTTCTGTTGTGGGCTGCAGCAAAAAACTGCCAAGGCACCAAGCTCACCCAAAAACGCAGCGAAAACTTTAAACAAGCGGAGCCTGGGCACCCAAAAGCCAATGCTGCATGCCAGCTTGACCCAAGGAATTGACTTTCGGGAACTTCGGCCCCTGTGGCATGTATCCTTAGTTGAGGCGAAAACTGGGTTTTGTAGTGTCTAGCTTCCAGAAAAAATGGGGGGGGCTCTAGGAACGGACGTTTAACCACTTCGGCCGTTCGCTTTGGGCGCGGTTCGCCAACCCTTCCATGGGTGACCGAAGCGCAGGAGCTCGTTCTGCTGCACCCAGGTCTGCTGCTGAAGCCACTGCCTCGGACGGACGGCCTTCGCTTGGGCGTGCAAGGGGTGCCGCCTATGGGGACCAATTCTCGAGACTTGAGCGAAAATGGTCCCATAAGCACCTATATAAATCCTCAAATGGGACCAATTGGCGCTTTTATGGGGGCCATTCCCCTGGGGTGCATCTTGGCCCAATTCCTCTCCTGTCCTCGGGGTCTGGCGCTTCACACCCCGCTCAGACATGCGAACCTGCCGCCGCGCCGCCCCAGCACGGAGCCGGGCTCCGCCGCGGAGGCATCCGTGACCACCAGCCGGTCCACGTGGAGATATCCGGACCTCAACACGTCGGCTGGGCCATGTTTGTGGTGGATCGGGAAGACCGAGCTGAGTGACCAGGTTGCCAAATCAAACTTCATGTCTCAAGGAAGGTTTGCGGTTCGAGCCCGCATGGGACCTCCGTTTGTTTGATTTCCCAAAGACGGCTTAAACCTTGGGCCTCCCCTTAGGAAATCCACCGACCCCTGGGCGTAAGTCTCTGCCCGAGCCGCATTGGCCAGCTGGGGATGCCCGTGCTGGCAGCCAGCAGCTGGCAGTCATCAGCCTCCTCGACTGGAATAGTCATGGGGGGCTTCGAAGAATCGGGGTCCTGGGGTCCTCCAATGGTCGGATTCCTGTTGGTTCCCCTTTCAAATTTACACAAAACAAAGGGGTCCGCCATGTTGAGAAACTCCCTATTGGCCGAGAAGTCTGGAAAGCTGAAAAACATATTTGCGCTTGGGGAATAGCAAAGATAGTACAGATCCTGGGTTACTTAAAGAGCATCCAAGAGGCTCACTTTGAATTGTGTCCTATTGATTCCAGGCACCGACTCATGCTCCGCCCCCCTCAAGTGCAGGCTTGCAGCTGCAAGTCGCCCTCTTCTTGTTGGTGAAATGCAAGAAATCCGAATGCCTCGACCCACCTCCCAATTCGACCTCCCCCCCTTCCCCGGCCAAATACGCGTACAACGCCCGGTTTAACCCCCAACAAAGACCCGAGACCCCCCTCTGACACATAAAGCCCGAAGCATGTACATTAGTAGTCTCCCCCCCTCAGTGCACATTTGCGAAGGACCCCACCTGCCAAAAGAGATCGGAAAGGCTTTCTCCGCGGTGGTTGCCTGGCGAAGACATGGCCAGCACGGTCTCTTCTCAAGCCACTTTAGGGAGCCCACCAAACAGTCCCCCAAGGTAAGGACTTGTTCCAAATCAGATGTGCTTGTCCACTGGCGCCAAGAGAATATTCAGTAGATCACGTGCCCAGGGCTCCTCCCTTGCAATTGAACATGTTGACTGGATTGAGACTTCTCAGGATTCTGCATTATCTGCCTTGTAGACAAGTGATCTTGAAAGGAAAACAAAAGATTGGATCCTTGAACAGAGACACAATTATCGAATCATGAGAGGGAACTCGCAAAATCTGATTCTGTGTTTTGTTCTGCGAAGTCTTCATACCTTCTGCAGCATCAAAACCGTAGATCGATATCCAACTGGCATTCCACCTCCCGGCTGTAAGCAGCCCTGCCCCTTGGGCCCGCGCAAGTGTAGACATTGATGTCCCAGAACCTGACAGGTCTTGCACAGCAGTGGGATGACATCTTGAGCATCTGTCAAAAATCGGGCTTGCCTTGCGCTTGGAGATTTGGACAATGCGCGATGATGCCACTTGTGCATAGCTTGTTTTACAGGGAGCGATTCTTCGGAAGCTGCAATCTTACAATGCCGCCAGCCGCTTTTCATTCCTTTTGCTTCTGAATATATATATATATATATATGTATATAGTTCTTCAGGCGCAGGATACTGGCCTCTCTGCAATTTGAACAGACACCCAACATCTTGTGGGTTCTGGAGACAAACGCATCAAGCTTCCCCTCCTGCCTGTCCGGGCCCTCCGCATCCACTGGCGGTAAGGCTGGAAAGATCTCCGCCTACCGAAAAGTGGTGGATATGAATCCCCGCGTACATGACCGAAGGGTCCCCCCATTGAAATTCACACCCATTTGGGTGTGAGCTTTGCTTGACTGGAAGCGTGCTATGGCTGCTGGCAAAGCAACATCCCAAGAATGTTGCATCTCTTTCACGGCGCTCAGGCAGTCACTATGATCTACATGGGTATGTGTCAATTTAAGACCCCAATTCCTTTCGGTCGACCTTTAAGCCACGCTGAAAATCGTACCCTCCACAAAAATCGGCACCCATAAAAATGCGGTCCTGGACAACACCTTCCTTCTCACACAGCAGTCGCAGCTTTTCGGCCTTGTAGGGAACCTCCCCGGAGGCGCCTCCGGAGGGCCTAGGTGTTCCGCTGGGCTGCAAAACCAGAGGTCTGGATTGAGCCGCACACACGGGGAGCTGGTTAGTGGGGGGGAGGGGGGAGGGGGTTGGGGGTTGGGGGTCAAGCCATGAGTTCTGAGGACCACAAGAAGTTGTGACTGTCAGCAGCTTGCACTCAACACAAGAAAGAAAGGGCCAGTCAAGTTCCCATCTATCTCTTCCATGGATTAGCCTTCTGACGCAAATCGTGGCAGTTTTCCTGCGTGGGCAACAGGGAAAGGCATTGAGCGATCCAGAACTTCCCGACCCCACGGAACGAACTGAACTCCTTCGCTCCGAAATGCTGACCCTCGGGACCCTTCTCGGTCATTGGATTCCTCTTCAAGAGTTGTGATTTCCTATCTGCCTCCCAGAAAGCTGCCATTTCTTGGAGGGCCCCAAAAAAGCTGGAGTCAGGAACCCAGCCTCCACATCCTCACCCCCAAACAATGGCATTTTCAGGTTCTGGTCCGTGAGAACCCTCAAAAAAAAACTAAAATGATGTCATTAGGTCCGCAAATCCGCCAAGACCACCAAAAAACACCTCCTGGCGTCTATATCCTTTGGTGGACAGCAACAAACCATGGGAGGACGGACAGTTGCGTCCAGCCCTTTTTCCGGGCGCTCCAAAGCGGGCTCCCCGCGTCCCCAAAGCTCCCCAAGCTCGGCCGTCGGCCGCGCCGACAGCCGGAGCTGCTGCTCCGCGGCGCTGCAGCTGGACCTAGCGACGTGGGAGCGCGGATCGGCTCGAGGGAAGCCATGGCTTCCCGCCTAAAACGGTCCGGGGATGAAAGGGTCCTCCCACAAGTGGTCAAAGTTCCTGGACTCGTAAGCCGTTTTAGGGGGGGATGACTTTGGAGACTTGGCCGCCAGAACCCCCCATTTTGGGTGTGATTTGCTGGAATTGGGGAGCCCTTGGACACTGTTCAGGGAAGTGTTGGCCAACTTTGTGGGGGTGTTAAGCACAATCATTCATATCATGGAAGCCCGCCAAGATCAAATGCAAAGAGCAAACCATCTTCCCAAGCCCTGGGAGTATCCATGTTGGCCTGGGGGAGGGTAAGGGAACGACTCCGGATTCTGCCTTTGACTCCCCCGCCCCATAACAACGTTTCGGGTTTGAGGTTCGGAGGCGCCTCCCTCACTCTCCAAACCTCGCCAGCTCTGCTGTAGGAAAGAAAAAGAGACGCGAATTAGCTTGGTTTGCATTATTGTCAGGGCAACAAATATGAACAACTTCATTTATGTTGATGTGCAATGTATTGGCAACACTACGCTAATTCTCTTCCAAGACCCAGGCGTTTCCGATTGTTTGCGAAAAGCTCACAACCAGAAAGCCGCATATTTCTTGCTACAAGTATGGCCAATTGAGGTTTGACACCGTGCAAGGCCAAGCCTTACAATCCCCTTCTAAAGTGGTCTTGGCTGGGAGTCTGTCGGGAAACAGGGGCCTTCTTCTTGAACAACACAGAACCCTCATGCATGAGCGCACGGAGGATTGAAAGAATCCTGCTTTGGATTCTGCTTCTGCTGGCAGCAATGCCTGACTGAGTCTGATGGATTGGTCCGCGCTCACTGTGATCTATGCCACACGTTCCTTGGGAGCCACTGCCCTTCCCGCGGTCACTCTGAGGTCTTGGCGCTGACTCCGGAACGAAGTCTTGGCCCAGCAGCAGCGACCTCACCTGACACAAACGTGAGGTCAGCTGCTTCCAATTCTGGCGTCGCACCTTTGCCTTCCCGTTAAAATCCACCCCCACAAACGGATGTGCACTACTGTACGCTTTTTCTCAAACGGATTGCGGCTTTCAGATGCTTTAAATGATTTGTGCCAGCTGACTTGTCAAAGTTGAATTCTTACAGAATCGACCTGCTGTGCGGGTGTAGCAAACGCTGTGATAGAACGTTTTGGGTTCCCTTCGTTCATCTCAGCCTCAACCAGCCGCCCTCAGCACATCTCAGCACCATGTCAATGTGCTTCCTGGTGGTGTTGGTGTTGGTTGTTCTTCTTTGCTTTGGCGGGTTTTTGGTGCTCTTGAACCTCTGCATTTTTTCTCGGCCCTGACGGCGGTTCCCTTTTATAGTTTGGTTTCATAAGCATCCTCGCTGAGCTCGCGGGGGAGAGGTGACACTGCTGCGCCTCGTGGAGGCATCGTCACGGCAGTGATGCACATATCCTTAAAAATGGAACTGAAATCCTTGAGCCCCATTCAAAAGAGGCCTTCATCATCCATCTCTACATCAAGGCTTCAGCAACCTCAAGGATTTTGCTCGCAAGAAGCGCCCAACCTGCTTCGCACTCACCCACCTTCCGACTGGTTCCCTCCCTGTGAAGCAGGTAGGTAGTGCTCAATCCAGCTCCAAGAGTTGCACATACTGCTTCACATGTCCGTCTCTTGCTCCTTGGATCACATTCAAAAGATAGAGGCAATGGGCAGAGGGCAGAAACGATGGAGCTATCAGTCTTGCGTCGGACGTGACAGTTGTCCTACACTTAGCCACAGCATCCAGCTGCCAGTAGCTTCCCAGCAACTTTGACAAAGCCTTGTCCAAGAGTGGAGCCAAACCAAAGTGAATGCTTTGCTTTCAACAACGAAACTGGTCTTTCTTCCAGGACCCCTTCCCCGAAACGTCCAACGGCTCCTTCCGTGCCACTGCCACGGGCGGCGCCCCGAAGTCTCCGTCTCACGGCCCTCGAAGCCCCCGGCGCCTCGCAGCCGCCGCTGCTGCCCAGCTGAAAGCCCGGCGGCGCCGCCAGGCGCAGCTCCAGGCGCGCCCCCAGGCTGTCTCGGGAACTGACCCCACGAGGAGACCACCGGCCACTCACCACTCACCGCAAGGAGAGTGGAATTCCTCCACCTCTTTCAACAAAAACAACAACTGGAGGTTCCCTCAGTCCAGTCCAGTGAAGGAGGAGGTCACCTTGAAAAATCAGATTTAGGGGAATCCCCTCTGTCTATTCAAGTGAAGAGGAAACCGTTAGGAGGACTGCAGTCTTTCAGAACCCTCCCGTCAACTTCCATGAATGTTGGAACGAGGGTTATCTCACAATGGTAGGACCTCCAAAGTGGGGGGTCGGTGTCCCTTTGCTTCTTCCCTTACAACTTCGAAGACTATGTTGGCATCCTCCAAAAAGAGGACGCTCATATCCACGTTCAGTGTTTCGAACAATTAACGAGCTGCAAGGGATCCTTTGACGCATACCATCACCATGTTGTCATGATCCGGCCTGTGCTTGGGAGCACAAACTCCACCCTCAGCGAGATCAGTGATGCGCCAGGCGGCAAAATCAGTGACCTGAGTGGATGGCAGAAAGCGGCCCGGTCCGGATTATGCTCACGCATCTTGGTCAACATCCAAATTTGTGATTTCCATGACTTGGTGTGACTTTGAAAGCACCTAAAGAAAGAAACCTCAAAACAGAGACGCTCGCGCCTGAACAGCTTGATCACGCTTCGTTCTCTCCTACCGCACTGCCTTGCGCGGCCAACTGCATGGTCTGTGAAATCAAGCTGTCAAATAGCAAAACTGTCAATTCTGCCAATTCTGAAACGAGAGCGATCGTATGTTGTGGCAGACAAAAGCCATCATCCCCCTGCTGGCAAGCTACCCACACTCCAACTTTGCGGGGTTCTCTCTTTTCAACCACAGACCCAGACCTGAGTGTAAACAGCGAATCAGCCACAAGCTGGTCACAAGCTCTGTGTCTTTTCCCGCTCCCGGATTCCCATGTCGCACATCTCTCACTGGGCTCCCCGTCTGAGTAAGGTAGGCGTCCCCCAACGAGCGGAAGGGGTACACGGTGGACTGCTGCAGCTTGGGCACCAGCGCAAAGCCTCCGGGTCCGTCGGATTCCCTGAATCCAGCGCTCGGTCAGTACAGTGAACAGGGTAAAGAAACGTGCTGCATTACTTGCTGGTGCGATAGGTAGGGAATGAGGGAATGAGCCTGCAAATTCCCGTTCAGGAAACCACCAGTTGGATCATGTCTCGCACCAAGATTACCACCAGCACCACAAGTACCCTTGGAGTCCCTGTCCAAGGCCTGGCGCCGAGGCGACGTAGAGAAGCTTGCTCACCGCTGCAGACTGCATCCACACCTCGCGTCTGAGGCGCTTCTACCAAAGCTCTCCCCCTCCGCGATGAGTTTGAAGGATCCTAAATCTTACGGTGTCGCCACTCAAATACCCGGACACTTAAAAAGGTCAACAGGAGTACCTCCGCATATTTAAAAGTCGTCACCGTACTTGCAAGCGTCCAGCTTTGACCTTGTTTGAACAGCGCAATTCTTGCAAGTTTGTTACGCTGGTCTCTTGTAGCACATAGCGATGGTGTAATCTTCACGCGTTGTCATTCGCGCTTCCTCACGTCACCCGGCCGCAGGGACCCCCCCCCTCAGAAAGCACTGCCATGTGTGCATGCCACTAGCAGGTGCTCTTGGGGTTGCCCTTCACATTTCACAAGCCCATGTTTGGCCGCTAGCGTGTCAGTGCACTTGTCGAAAACCTTAACCTCAGCTGGTCATTAAGCCTTGGATTGATGTGACTGGCGCACCGCGACGTGTGCGCTGTTGCAAAAAAAACGTTGCCGCGACAGTTTGCAAGGGACAACATCTTGGAGGAACCTGGGCGACCTTTTCCGATCTTGACATGGATAATTGCTTGTGTTGGTCTCAGTCTCAAGTGCCAGGAGGATGGCGGGATCTCAATGCGAACAGCAGATTGCGCGATTTCGAACGTCGGCCCTGCCTCCATCTTCCAAATGTTCTCACTTCCTGGCAACGCAGAGCACAAAGGTCGGCAAAATTAGGATGACTTGGGAAGGGACATTCCCTGTCCGGAACGGCACTCGGATCGTTAACATGAGGTCAGGTGCTATCAGGCTGACAATGACTTAGTCAATCCGCCTGAAGGCTCACCGCGTTAAGCATGAGTTGCGTAATGCGTCACATGCCAGTGTGTGCATGATTTGTTTCAGGGTGCCATCACAAAAGTCTCGGTTTACAGAGCCCTTGCTGCTCAAATACAACGCACCCCTCAACTTCATGATCCTCGTATTCTTCCCAGGAGAGCGAGGAGCGATCTACATTCTAATTACAGGGTTCCTTGTCCCCTTGATACATCGCCCACCCAAAGGAAAGTCAGTCCAACAATGGCCACCAATATGGGCACGTGTCAAAATACGGGACCCCTGAAATGGTCGGTTTCCGCTTGGCCTCCCCTTTCAACAACCAACCCCACAAGGGTACACTCAGGAAACACATGTTGAACCAATCCAAAAACGACCTGCGGCCAGCCTGCCGGCTGGACTGCCGGGCTGTACACTGACACAGCCATCACGTAGGTCCGGCCTGGCGGTTTGCGGGTGCGCTCATGGCTGGGTGTAGCACAGCTCTCCCTTGGATTCTGCCAAAGGTGGCTCGTTTTTGTGAGGGTTGAGAAGTTCACTGTCCATTTCACTAGTTGAAATCAAGCTGTGCTACATCCCCAAAGGCGTCCTGCCAACTTAGCTCGCGAAGCATCCCGCTGGTTTTGTGCTGTGCCGGAAAACGTCTTAGCATCCAGACAAACGTGGGGGAATGTTTTGAAACATCCGCACAAACACGGGAGAATACTCAGAGAATGGTTCTGCCCAGGGGGGATGATTCAAAGGCTGGCCAGTGGAGGATTTGCAAGCAAATCGCCACCCCCCCCCGGGAAGAAGTTGTGCCGCTGCGCGGGGCAAAGGCCCATGTTAAAAGCAAATGGAAAGTTGTCCCATGCTGGAGGCAATCCTTGAATGGGTCAAACTTGAACCACCAGGAATTGGGCCGCAGGTTTTAGTCCTGGGCTCCATTTACCAGGGCAAGCCATTTTGGGGTTACCCCATTTTTGACCCAGCCACAGTGCCAAGGCTGGCCTCCCACGGGTCCGAAGAGGTCGATGAGGATCGACCCGTCCAGGCTGCAGCCTGCGCGCTTGGGGCGCAGCGGGTGGGCCCCTGCTATGAAACCACCGACCGAAAGATCGCATTCGTCTTTTCGGGGGTCGCCAGTGGCTCGAATTGACAACCAGACATCCCCCGCACAAAGCGAGAGGGCAAGTGGCAATCGGTGGAGCAGTGGTACTACATTTGGGTAGAAGTGCTGAGGCACGGACTCGCAAAGGGCGGCAAAGGAACTGCCGTCTCAGTCCAAGGTGGCTGACCTGCACAACGATCTTGGATGATGGCGGAAAACGCTATTCGCTTGAGCAAGACTGTTGTGCTAAGGCAAGGGTCCAGGCGGTCCACAAACCACAAACCGAAGCAAAGCTATTCAGTTCCCAGTCCAGTCCTGCGGAAGTAAACATATCCCAAATAGCGGGCTGTCCTCATGAGAACATGGCGTTGAGCAGCTATTAACCACTCTGGCGAACATAATTAATCAACAAAACAACTCAACCAGGTGAAACCTATTGTATCCGGGTGAGGCTAGTCCTACACATGTATCCGTTTTCACGCCAAACATCCCATTTGGTTAAGACCCTGGAAAAAATAAAATATACTTCACAAAGTGATAGATTCCCTTTAAAACCAACAGGGAAAAAATACTCTTAAGCAAATGGAAGAAAATATCAGCGCTCGCTCGCTCCAAATGTTCACACACAACTGAGAAACTTGCAGGGGCCACAGATTATCAACTAGGTCTTTCCAAACCACCTGTAAACATAACAGGGACATCCCTTTTTGAACGTTCGGCTCAAGTTTGTTTTTCCGCCAGAAGCAGTGGCAACGTGGTCTGCCGTAGCCACTTGAGCTGGCGTACACATTCACTCTCGCGAGTGGGCTGGAGCGGAGAGGCGGAGCTGAGAAGCGCTTCAAGGCTCCTGAAGGCATGTGGCGCGCAACCATAATATTATTGCCGCGCGGCTGCAATCATTTCGCGAGGAACAGCGTGAAGGGAAAAGGTCCAGTGCCCACAGGCGCCTGCGACCGAAAATTTGAAGGAGTATATGGGTTTGGGCGATTCGTATTTGCATGGCGATTCCCCGCAATCTCACTTACCTTCTGCCAGGCCATTTGCTGCGTGAACGCAGAAGAGAGTGTGTTCCCCCTGCCAATCACAGTGGCATGGCCCAGAATTGCCTAGAGCTTGCCACGGACTGGCGCCTGTGCTAGTCAAGTCCTTGCCTGGCGCAAAGGGTTCATGCGTGCTGTTTTGCGTGTAGTTAGCTGCTTTCTGTGCATTTCCGTCGCTCTGCTTCTGGTGTTTGATTTGTTGCGCTCGATTTCACGCTCGCACCCGACGCTACACGGCGAAAATTGGACAATGCATTTTTGTCTGGGCCCGACCGATCCTGAATATTTGGCTATGATCTCTGATGCTGTTGTGCTATGTCCCTCCCAATACACGTTGGTTGACTAATCCCTTTTTCCTGTTAATCAACCTACCCCTAATAATAAAACTCCCCCAAGCCGCAGCAAAACATCGGCAATACTAAATTTAAATTGGCCAATACTAAACCAATACTAAACTCCTGAGACTACACATGCTTTCCACCAAGCTCACAAAAAATAGGATTAGGGGTCCCCCCCTCCAGTGTGTTGAAACAAGAAGGCTCCACGTTTTCTTTGGACACCCAAGGGTTGCCTTGTGCGACAAGGTCTTGTTCGGGGAATTAGGGCATGTGTTTGCAAGTCGGCCCAAACCGGCGGCCCCAAATAGCAATGGACTTTCCGCTCTCACATGGGAGCCAGGAAAATTGGCCATGAGCCGAATCCGAATGACGGCAAGTCCGAAGTGGATCCAACAGCCAACACAACCACCCAAGCGTCCAACCCAACAAAACAGCCCTACAGACCACCGAACGACAAGCAAATCACAATAGAATTCCGGCACTGAAAGGGTCTACCCAAAGCACAAATAATCTTATGGTTTGGCCTGTCACGCCACCGCAACTCCTCAAATACCCCGCTATCTCCCCTTCGGACCCAACCCAAAAACGGACCCAGCCTGCTCCCGGCAAGGCATCCCAGGCCGCCGGCAGCAGCGGCAGCAAGCCCTGTGGCACCGATGCGCGCCCGGCCTGGCGAACGAAAGCAAATGTGAACTTCGAATCAAAGGACTGCAAGCAGCGGTTTGGTGCCCCTTGACATGTGGGGAATAGCCATTTTGGTGGATTCCTCTCATACTGTACTCGGAGATCAGGATCTGAAGCGACTGCTCGTAACATCGGGAAGGGTTCGGTCAGTATGATTTTTCGCAATGAGGAAACTCGATGGTGTTCTTTCATGCGTTGCCTAAAAAGAAACAAAGCATTTGTCAAACCTGGAGGCCCTTTAATCCCAACCCACTTTTTGCAATTCGCACCCATGGTGACCACCAACTGCACGACCGTTGCCCCGTGACTTTTCCCGCCCATCCCAGTTTCCAGTCTCTCCAAATGAATATCCCCAGAATGTTACCGCCACAGACCAATAGAGGACTACCCAACACTGATACCTCGCACCGCCTGCACGTGAAAAGTGGGACACATCAACAACTACCTATCAACTACTACCTATCAACTGGTGCAGGATTTCGTCCATCAACAGCAGAGTTGCACACATCCAGTGATTTACCCTCAGCTGACGTCCATCACCTCATTTATACCTAAACCCTTTGGCAGCCTCCCTCTCTCCAACAATAGAAGCGGACAGGGAGGCTTTTGTTCGTTAAGCTGTGGCACTTCAAAAGCCTGTCAGCTTCCATGTCTACATTTGATGGACAGCCCGAAAGATGAAGCCGTTTTCACTCCCGTCTTTAAGAACCCAAAGCATTTGGAATTTGGTCTGCCCCACGACCCATCCGCCTGCGCCGCCGCCACAAAATGCTCGCAGGCGCGGCCAGGCGGCAGCTGGAAGCTGGCCGGGGCGGTGACGCGCCTTGGGGTGAGTCGTCAAGCGAAGCCGTCGCAGGAACCGATGCGGCGGGTTCTCACGCGCAACTTGCGGCATGAACTAGGGGAGAAATGTAGACGCAAATGTCCGAAGCGTGTCGGTTTTGATACTGATGCTAGTGAGGAAACACATCCGTCCAGCATCTTCATGGCTTCCCAGCCAAAACAAAAAGCTTGCGCTATGGGTTCTATCTCTATCTCATCGGCGCATGGTGGC